ACAAGCGTATACTTTTGTTCTCCGTGACACGTAATACCTTACTATTTGTTTTAAGGAAAAAATTGCCAACTCAGTAAAACTACCTTTTTTTAAAACCAAACTGAGCGTCATTTTTAAAAATAAATTTCGATAAAATATCCAGAATAATAGACTCAAATGGTTTTGCACAGGTTGTAGCGATTGAGATAGGCTTAAAATTGGAAGTGATCGTATCGCTTACGGTTTTACTTTTGACAATAGGGCTAACCACGCATTTTATTAGGTCAAGAGGCAAAAATGAGTGTTTTAAACACGCGTTAATAAAATCGAGAGAAACACCACAACCCAGGTTCCACCGCAACGTAAATGTTCAACCGAAATGTAATCATGACCACACTCTCATCAATATGATAAAACCGGCTCAAGTGTATCTATCGCAGAAGGGCCACCACTAGAATAGCAGTCATTCAACAAAAAGTTCTGCTTAAAATTATTAGCTATCTGTTTTTTATCGCCTACACCATCCACGCAGACCGGAACTCCAACCCTTATGTTGCATAGTTTTGATGTATGTTGTTAAAATTCAGAAAAGTTTTTGTCTATTCATGCGTTACTTATATGATCCAATAAAATTTTATTTTCATTTTTCTGGCACAACTTTAAGCGACCTTTAAATATAGAACTACTTTGCTTCATCATATCATAGAGGAACCAAAGCTGGGAGCCCCCGCCTCGATCCACCTTGATAAGTTTACTTTAGCATCCACATACGCTGATTTTACTACATCATTTCAGCCCGGCGTGCCTTTCCGTTTATGCGATGTATGAAGACTTTCGATTAATTTCTTATTAATTCTAACAAGAAAATCTTTGTGTGAGTTGCAAGTACAGCTATCGCAAGAAGAAATTAAGCGCAGATAGTCCCAATTTAATTCTGATAAGAGATAACTACATCACCACTCATACGCTTTGGTTTCATCCCCACTTCTCTTGTCCCAAGAAATAAGGTTCCTAGATTTAACGTGGTTAACCAGAATTCTCCCAACTGCAATTTTGGTAAAATTAAATTCGAATGCGAGAGGCCAGTGGTCCGACCAAAATACATCATTTATTACATATACTCTTGATAAAGCCGACCACGCGACCCGGGTTACGATGCAATGATCAAGCCAGCTCTTTGTGCCATGAGCATAACTAATGTATGTAAAAATATTTTCAAAATTTAAGGTCTGCGCAATTCAAATCATTTTCTGAACAAAATTTTATTAATTCGTTGCTAAATAACGTATTGAAGTCTTCAAAGGCCACATTTACAAAATGATTTTCTAATAAACTTTTGATTATACATAAAATATTTGTAAATTCAGATAAATTTTCAAGATTGTTTTGAGGTATATAAACAGAAAAATACATAATATGACAATTCTCATTAATATACGAGTACATTATAAAAACAATCTTTTGTACGTTTGTTGTAATTTTCCACGACTAAGTCATTATTCAAAACTCAAGGGCATACAAGGTGTTAGGTTTTGTCATGGATATTGCAAAGGATAATAACGCTAAAACGATTAAAATCTTGTATTGTACTTACGTTCGCAGTACGCTTGAATACTACTCGCAGATCTGGAATCTGATTATAAATACATACATTTCATGGATTGAAAGCATCCAAAGTAAATTCATACGATATCTTTGCTATCGTACCCATATAAACTGCCGATCAGAAGACTATCTATCCTTATCAAACAAGAAAGCATCATCTGTTACCTCTGATTAAGCGTCGAGAAATTGCTGACATTGTATTTTCATTAAAAATCTGTTCTGGTAGTGTTGACAGCTCTGATTTGCTATCACAAATACGATTATCTTTGAGAATGCCTACAGTGAACCTTAGAACGAATGCAATACTCTACTTACCAGCTTCATCTTCTAATTATGGAAGAAATACTTTCATATCGCGGTCTAGTAAATAATTTAAGCAAAAAGCACGATTTTCATTTATTTAATACTAGCTAGGTATGTATCGGCAAGGCGGGCATTAAGCCAAGAGTTTTTTGTGTCGTAATTAATTTAAAAAAAATATTATGTTGTGCAGATAGTCCTGCTTTACTTTTCTTTTTGGTTATTATTGTCTGTATCACTTATTAAATTTATCCATTTAAATTAGACTCATTTTCTTGATGCTCGTATTTGTTAAACTACAAAAGAGTATGTTTATTGTATTTCTATTAGTGAGAACCTGTTATTGGCGTCTTGTAGATTAAACATGTTATTTACTTAAGATTTGTAAGCTGATTTTCTATAACATTAAAAAAATTAAGAGAACAATTTTTATTCAAATTAGATTTTATATAATGTCCTCAAGACCAGATTTTGGTCAGTGTGCGGTCATTGTTAGCGGAGACTATAGTATGTGCCAAATCGATTGTGAAAAACGGACAATGACCTTTCGGTCGTTTAACCAGGGGTACAAAACTTCAATACATTTTATATGTAGTACTTTCTTTATTTATAATCATTTTTTTTAATATTTTTAATAATGATTGAATAAAAGACATCTATTGTTATAAAGTACTTTTCATTTAACAACAAAAAGCATCCACCGAATAAGTACGTAGTTATTCAAAAGATAAAACTTTATTTTCAATATTATATAAGAACTTTATTTTTATTCTGTGCAATGATCACTCGTATCTCGGGCCGGACCAAAAAAGGTGACGCATCTCTGGCTGCCATTGTCACATTTCTTTTAGAACGAACTGATGTAACGCGCGTTTTATTTATTTTAAAGGGATGATTTTCCAAAAGCTCAATATGGTGATTATATTGCTTCAAATATTTTTTTATATGAAACTGTTATTAAGTAAATTACTGCGTTACTTACCATAAATTGAAATATAAAATATAACACATTTTTCCCGATGTACCGTAAGATTTTACGATGTTTATAGGAACCACAGACAATATTATTTAAGAAACAAAAAAACAAAACCTATGTGCTGACCTAGAAGTGAGAATAATATCAATATTTAAATATTGTTATCACATCTAAAATGAGATTTTGTAAGTTACGCCTTTTGACACTCGACTCATATCTGAGGTCATTGTCCGTTTTTTCTCAATCGAATTGGCACATACTTTAGTCATCGGCACAGGACAGGATGACAGTGCCCGAGTGTATACGCAAGCACAAGTATATTTTTCTTCACAGGCATCCTATAAGTAATGAAATTAAATTTAAATCGAAACCCAAGCATACTGCAAGGCTTCAAAATATTATAAGTTAATACTGCGTGGATCGAACCAAATTTTAATAATTTTAATCTGAAAGTAGCCGTGGTTAGCTATACATACATTGGGGCATCGAACATCTCAGTCCCTTCGTGACTATGGGTGCTGTAAAGTATTCGAAGCATCCTGAATATAAAGTAAGTTAATATACGCGATTGAATCCGTAAAAACTAGTTTTATTTAAATGTGTAGTGTTCGCGTAAACATAAGAAATCATTATGAACTCTATTCCCTCACTCTTACAGGGACGGTTATCCGACACGACTGGAGAGAGATCAGCGGCTCTACGTGCTTTCCGAGGTGCGGTGTTTACACACAGCACACATATGTACAGCCTGGAGTCAGGAATCTGACGAACTTCCTGACTCCATGCCGATACTGAGATTTCTTGACATGAAAACCCCATAAACTGATTTTGTCTCAACCCAAGATTCGAGCTCGAGATCTCATGATCAGCTACCGTGTTTACCCTTATTCTATAAAAAAGAAAGGAAAACGATAAACTTCTACTACAGTCTAGAACACAGAATATTATAATACACAATAGAATGGATGTCATCGTTATTTTGTACGACGACAAGCGTCGCCGGGAGCACACATACAAGCAATTACGTCGTATCATCAGTTAATCACTACTACAAACCCGATTCGCTGTTTTGACAGTCTAATTTAATACATATTTTTATTTGTAAATAGCGTGCGATTTGGCATTTTCTAAATAATTTGCATGCGAAATTTGGAAACGATTGTAACGTCAAAACACATCTCGTGTTGACATTCATACGTGTGAATTGACGTGTTAGTGGCATTTTAGTGGCTACACGGGCTCCGCCCACTCCCCCGATTTATTATGTATGTATTATAGTATTCTATGATTTAGAACACATGCAAGAAAGTATAAACTTCCTGTGTCAGAAATCTCTATACCTCATTTTCTGCAAAACAACAAACAAACAAAATAAATGCAGAAAAGTATATATACCTTCTACCCCATTCCAGGCACACGGTGCCTCAGTGAGGGTTGGCCGACTATACATATCTTTAAAATATTCAAATATATTCCATTTTATGTCTCATGTGTAGGTTTAGTCATTCGCACGATGTTTTCCACTGCTAATGAACAATAGTAAATCATGATTTCTTATATTTACGCGAACACTACACATTGAAATAATACTAGTTTTTTCGGAATTTATCGCGTATATTTAACTTTTTAAATACCAGTCCCGCCCGTGACCATGAGTGCTGTAAAGCGTTCGAAAAGTCGCGGGTATTTAGAAAGTTAAATATACGCGATAAATTCCGTAAAAACTAGTATTATTTCAATAGTAAATCAGCACTCAAAATTTCAATTTACATGTCTATACATCCAGATTCGATCTCAAGTTGCATATTGTCAATTTACAAAAGATTTATTCTTGTGGCAACTATTATTTTAACCTTGCCAAATTATCAACTCGGTGACAACATCGAAATAACATAAATAACAATTAATAAAGATAAACAAAATAGCTTTGTTTGTATAATTTTATCACTTCTATTCATGTATAATACGACAATTTATAACCAATTTAATTTGCTGTTCGAATATGGTCATTACTGTCACGTTGATAAGGTTTTCACGCATGTAGAAAGTGTTTTATCGTTCCGTAAAGGCGTGTTTCGAGTTCCGACTAATTTTAAAACTTTAGTGTGAAGCGAGATACTGAAAAGAGTAGTCGTATAAAATGTCTTTAAGGCTGGTGTGCGCGAGAAGTTTTCTGAACCGGTGTACTCCCTTCGGTAACCGATGCATGTCTTACTATCCCATTGACGAACACATATTTGGACTCTCCAGTGAACAGCAACAGGTTTTGTTTTGTTGTTTTTAATATTTCGTTATTAGCATTCATATTTTGTTAAGTACTTTAAACGTTGAAACAGGTTTGTGTTCATTCAAGTCGGTCCATAATTACAGTTCACGATGTTCCTTTTTTTACTAATTTAAAAGTATTAAATTTTTTTTTGCGCCTGAAGCAAGTAAGGGCAACCCTCCGGTAACGGGGGAGGGAGGTGGTGAATGCTCATAGCATACCACACAGCCGGCTGTGTGGTTATATGGAGACTTTTACCCACTAAACACCACCTTTTGGAATTGGCTTAACGATCTGAGGAGAGATCATTAAGTCATAAACGGACGCGACCCTTCTTGGCAGAAAGGACTATATTAAAGGAATATATTATATACGGTACGGCACAGGACCCCTATTAGTTTTGAGAAGATTATGGAGCAGAGGTTATTTTATTTATGTCAGCGGGTATCGAACTCAGGTTGCTCACGTACTGTAAATACTAAATACAATTTACGGCGAGCTCTTAGCCCCTGCACTGCCACGGCTCTTCAACTTTGTGTCTTAATCACCTGAATTAAAATAGTAACAAAATAGTACAGACTTAATGAATTCATTCTATAATTATTCAATACCAAAAATAAATCATTATATATTTTAATTTATAATAAGATAGGTTAATAAAGTTTATTTCATTACGTTTACCCGAGATGTTTCCAATTTATTTTTATTAATATTATTTAAAACAAATAATTTTTTTAAGAGATATCTTTTGATCTGCGTAAATGTTATAGATAATATTCATAAAGTATATACATCAGCCTGTTTATTGTTTCACGTAACATGAATAAATAATAAGTGCGGCGTGGTACAGTAGAGCGTCGATTATCCGAATTGATTGGGGGACATAGGTGTTCGGAAAACCGGTTTGTTCGTATAATCGAACTGTATTATTTTATGTACCAATATACTAACAAAAACATATTTATAATATGTAATACAAATATAATCTATTACAGTTGTAATACATTGATACGATTATTTACTTTGCACAAGGTGCCGCTAATTCACGACGCGTGGCAAGAGTTTTTCGTGGCAAAGCCTTCCAACTGAGTCTAATTTCGTCAGGATTGTAAACGTTTTCTAAAACATAATTTTCTGGTTTTAACTTGTAAGCTCATGAAGGTCACGTATAATTGATTAATAAGTCGCTTAATTTGATTTTGAAAGAATCAGCTGCTGAAGAACCAGCAGATAACTTTTCTCCTTGCATTTGAAGCTCACGAATGCCTTCACGTACTTGCTTGAAAGTTCGACGGCCCTCCAAGTTTTTCTTTTAATGTTTTGCCTTTTCACATAGAACGGCATCATAGATAGGTTCTCCTTGTGATTTTTTTTTTGCGTAAATCACTTGTAAACATGGTCATCGAGATCGGTGTTCGTGGCGAGCTTCATAGTTTTACGACTTGTCGACCCATCGGTAAAATTATGTTTGGATATAAAATTGGATATGTTCTTTTGGTTTTTATATCCGTAATTGTCGACTTAACCACTTTGTACTTCTTAGATAACTTAGTTGCAGATTCGGCTTTCTCTAATTGTTTGTTAATCTCGTATTTATCTTTTATGGAAGGAACAACACGTTTACGTTTAGGCATTTTAAATTGCGATCTAATAGTGCAAAATTAACACAAGCGTATAGCGCTAGCGGTACTGAACGTAGGCCAACACGGGACACTGCGTGGAGAAGCGAGAAGGTGGTCGCATCCTAGCCGAGGTAATAGTTCGGTTAAGCGGTCGTTCGGTTAATCGACGTTCGGATAATCGACGTTTTACTGTATAATTAACTGTGATATTATCAAAAATAAAAATAAATAAATAAGTATTTAAGATTAAATTGTTTGAATACAAAAACAGCTACAATACAATAGTTTTGAAAGAAGTGCTTAGACTATGAAATCATGTATTATTATATTTTTAAAATATTAAAACGATACATGGAGATGACATGATTCATTGTTTTAATTTAAGAAAATATTGTTGCGCGCCTAAGTTGACGTCATGTACCCAGCACTAGCGCCATCTAGTGTGAGGGACGAGAGCGAGGGGAGCTTTCCAGAAAATGAAATCACTAATCTTTCAACCGACAGTGCCATCTAGTACCGAAACGAAGAACTAAGCTTCTAGAAGCCGACACCCGAACTTTCGGCGCATTGTCGATTGGTGCGCGTATTTACTTGAATATTCTGGATGTTTCGGTGCTAATGTGTATTTGTAGGCGCTGCAAGATGCGATCGGGGAAGTATTGAATTCGGCGAGACAATCGAAGCTTCGGAGCGAAATAAAGTGAATCAGTGTGGTTAATTATTAGTGTTCTAAGTTTTAATTAGTGTAAAGTGAATTAAAGAGTTAAGTTTGGTAATTCAATCGGCAGTTTTTATTGTCACGAACCTCAAGCTCGTAACAATTGGTGTCAGAAGTGGGATTAAATCATGCCGATTTTACCTAAGGAGAAAACGGAGGGTGTCCGTACCCGAAGTCAACGCCAGTGGGAGACGGACCAGAGACGATTTGGTGGTGCAACGCCGCAGACGTCAGAGGGCTAACTGCCAGCCACGGAGGCTGGCCCGTCAGTAGCTCCTTCTTACATCTGCAGCACCTGACTTACGTGCTCTGATGGTGATGCTGCAGGAACAGGCTCGCCGACAGGAGGAACAGGCTCGCCGACAGGAGGAACAGGTCCGTCGATTGGAGGAGCAGCTGCGGGGCGGACAGGATGAATAGGCCCGCCGACAAGAGGAACAGGCCCGTCGGTTGGAAGAGCAGATGCTCCTTATGAAGGACCTTCACGCTACCTTCGGGAAAGAGATACGGGAGGTGAAGCATAAGGTTGCTCAACATGACAACCGCCTGTCAGAAGCAGAAACCCGAATCGACCAAGTAAACAATCGGGTTGACAACGTAATGGCTGACGTGAAGAAAACGCTGGACGACCTCAAACTTGGGGATGGAACAACAGCTCCCGTAGTAGCTACAACACCTTCGCTACGTGGATTCATAGTGCCGCCGTTCGACGGAACTTCTTCCTGGTCGGCCTACAAAATCCAGTTCTAGGCCGTCATGGAGGCGAACGGCTGGAATAAAAGCCAAGCCATGACTGCACTCACCCTAGGCCTGCGCGACCAAGCCTTAACTGTGTTGGAAGCTCTCGGTAAGAAAGTGACCTACGAGCTCCTTGAGGCGTTGGAGGCGAGATATGGCGACGCTCACCTGGAACACGTCTTTCGCGCGCAGCTTAAAGGTCGCGTGCAGCGCATCAATGAGAACCTGCAGCAGTGGGCTCTAGAGGTGGAGAAGCATACCGGTCTGTACCTGCGCTCATTGAAGGGAACCTGGTGCAGACATTCATCGACGGCATCCGCGACCTTGAAGTCAGAGCTGCTGTGAGGCTCGGGCACCACGAGACGCTTAAGGACGCCTTGGCCCATGCACTGGAGGTTGAAGCCGTGCGGCAGGATCTTCGTTCCCATCGCGTTAGGGAGGTTGTAGCAGCTACAACGCAATGTCGAGGATTGGTGTCATACATGTACAAGTTGTGCGGCTGTGAGGGGACCTCAGACACGTAGTAGAGGAGCATCGAAATTGTACAATGTTGGTGCATCATGGGATAGGACAGCCCTTGACATTGCGGAGCCGTTACAGAAAGGCGCAAGAGGGACTCCTAAGATCGTCCATGTGGATCGCCTGGCGCGTTATTATGGGGCCGATAATGCTCAGGACGAGCATATCTTAGGAGGGGGCAGTGTTGCGCGCCTAAGTTGACGTCATGTACCTGGCACTAGCGCCATGTAGTGTCAGGGACGAGAGCGAGGGGAGCTTCCCAGAAAATATACCACTAATCTTTCAACCGACAGCGCCATCTAGTATCGAAACGAAGAACTAAGCTTCTAGAAGCCGACACTCGAACTTTCGGCGCCTTGTCGATTGGTGAGCGTATTTACTTGAATATTCTGGATGTTTCGGTGCTAATGCGTATTTATAGGCGCTGCAAGATGCGATCGGGGGAAGTATTGAATTCGGCGAGACAAGCGAAGCTTCGGAGCAAAGTAAAGTGCATCAGTGTGGTTAATTATTAGTGTTCTAAGTTTTAATTAGTGTAAAGTGAATTAAAGAGTTAATTTTGGTAATTCAATCGGCATTTTTTATTGTCACGAACCTCAAGCTCGTAACAATATGTTGTATGTGTAATTGTTAAGGTCACTCTTTATCTAATGGAATTGTGGTTGTTGTTGTATAATTTTTATAAAAGTTTAAGTATGTGTACTCGTACTTTCTTACTTAACAGCGGAATATTCTAGTGCTAGTTGCGAAGCTGATGTGAGTGAGACCTCAGAATAATAAAATAAAATACATTTTCGATTAGAATAGTATTTATAATGATTTCTTATATTTACGCGAACACTATATATTGATTAAAACTACTTTTACGGATACGAACCCGTGTAAAAGAACACATAGCTGACGTGAAGCATCAACGTTCCGGGAAGTCTGCAGTTTGAGATCATATCCTAGATGGCCCCAACCATTACATCAGATTTGATAGACCACAAATCCTCGCGAAAGAACATCGATTCCTACCAAGGATGATACGTGAGGCTATTGTAATTAAAAACATCCCAATTTCAATAGAGAAGGAGGCTGGGTACTACCACCTGCTTGCGACCCTATAATTAATAAAATGGTCGCCTCAGTCCCCCGTGACCATGGGTGCTGGAAAGCACCCGAAACGTCGGGTATTAAAAATATAATAAATAAAACGCGATAAAATCCGTAAAAGTAGTTTTAATCAATAGAATAGTATTTCTTTGTGCGTAAAGTTTCCTGACCGTGCCGTGTGCGAGGCGTTGTAAGAATAACCTCTATAGTTCGGCCGTTCAGAGAATGCGTTCCTGACACCTATCAGTTAGTCACGACTAGTGATGGGCACAACATAACACTGAGTTCGTTACCGTTCCTCCAAAATGAACCACCGCGTTATTTTTAAGATTATTTTCGTTTTAAATTGGCGGAATCATTTAAAATTTATATTTTAGTAATTTAAGTGGAAACCAAAAAAGGTAATATTAATATAATAAAATTGTTTTATTTATTCTTTGTTACAAAGTTACAATCTGTATTTCTATGCAATAAAGTACATTGAATTGAATGTGCGTACAGAATATTAATCAGACTCCGATTCGCTTGAGGAGGTGGTGTCTTCATCATCGTAGGCGACTACATGTATAATTATATTATTGTCAATAACACAATCAATCCTGATATCTCGGTCAGAATGTTCCACAATCAGGTTTTTAGTCTTCTCAACAACCTTTGCCCAGTCATCTCTTGTGACTTCCCCCATAACGCCATTTGGGGTTACCATACCACCACCACCATACCACTAAATATAAAAATGCTACTTTCTTTCGCACGTTCGGTTTGGTCGTAGTTTTATTTTTATATTTAATAAAAGTTATCTTATAGTCCATTATTTTCAAATTCTTAAAAAGAAAAACAAAGCGTATTATTTCATAAAGTATAACTGTATAAGAACAGATTACGATACTGTTATTGCCTGTTATTGTTAGCACAGCACTACAAATATAAAGCACTGACATAACCTTGTAATAGCGCAGTATAGATTTAGAAAAATATTGTTTACCAAGTTATTTGACACTCAGTTTGGCACAAAATTATAACATTCATTGATTATTGATATAATAATGTTGTTTTAATGTTCATTAATTGTTAAAACGGTAAAAAATCAGCAAAAATATTTTTATCGTAACTGCAACGCCATTACAAAGTTACGTCGTCAGTTCAATCGCGACGTATCAGGAGCGCATTCTCTGAACGGCCGAACCTCCCATTATCCCGTCCGTGCCGAAAGAAGCCACGGAGGGAAACAAACGAGGAGAATTGCTGCTACTCGGCAATTCCCTAAAAACTAAAAAAAAATAAAAAAACTGCGGTTTTCTACGCGGTGTACACGCGTGGAACTCTACCATAAAACACCCCTGAGGCAACCCATGGTGACGTCATTGTTCAGTAGTACTTGAGCTCTGTCGGGTGTAAAAAATTAGTGTTTATTACGCTGATAGTCTGATATAAACTCTGGTATTAGGCTTTTTACCGATTGTCTTTGTAAAAAATATAATATAATAAAATATTTACAGATTAATAAGCTAAAAACTGATATGATAAAAGGCACACCTACATAAACAATACATTAATGTGTAGAAATCATTAAAAGTGACGGCACTAGGATTCAATCAGCCCCCCAGAATGTTACACGAGGCGTCCCACAGGGCTCGGTAATAGGGCCTGTTCTTTACACGCATTTACATTCTGCAGATATCGTTAAGAACATTAATCACTGTCACTATCACCTATATGCTGATGACCTGCAAATGTACTTTTCATCTATACAGTCTTTGATTTTGTCCAAATTAAATTACTGTGACGTAGTGTTTGGACCATGTCTATTAAGTAGGATTCAGAGACTTATACAGCGTGTACAAAATGCATGTGCGAGGTTCTGCTTTCACATACCACCACGTACGCATGTTACTCCTTTTCTTAATAATGCAGGCCTATTAAAAATGTCATCGCGTCGAAGGTTACACCTTGTTACCTTATTATTTGGAATAATTTCTTCAAAAACACCTCGTTACTTATGTGACAAATTAGTGTGGGTTAGCGAACAGTCAAAATATCCGAAACGTAAATGTTCTAACGTCTTTGTTATTCCAAAACATAGAACAATGGCATTTAGAGGGTCCTTCAGGTACGCAGTTTTTCGCTGCTGGAACGATCTGCCTCCACCAATGCGTGCTTTAAAAACTATAGGAACATTTAAAAAAAAACTATCAGCAATTTTAAAACAAGACCATAATCTCTCATAATTTTAAAATAATTTTTTTCACTTTAATTTTTTTTTGTTTTAACGTGCACAATATAAAGGGGTCCTCTAATCAACGCTGGAAAAATTGCTGGATAAGATTAACCGTTTTTTTTTAATTCCGTCACTAATTTTTCAGTTTACTCACTGTTTTGTTTCTTTTTGTTTATGGTGGTTAAATCGTAAAGTCTTTACAATTGAATTCAGTTTTTTTAGTTTATTAAGATTAGATAATATACTATATGATGTTGAGCTGTTGAGCACTTTATAATGTATATGTACGTACATTTAAATGTGTATGATGTATATACGTATGTATTGATGTATAGATATATATGTGATATGCAAGTGTACAGTTTACTTATACAGTGTGTTATTAGTTCCAAATAATACCTCTTTTATTTCCTTTCCCACCCACTTCTCAGAATGGTTGCTTTTTTTTTTGGCTTTAAGTAATGTATGACCGTCCGTGAAGTGAATATTGGGCTCTATTTGAAAATCAGCGCTGCTGTCATTTTGTACAGCAGCAGTTAGCTGAAATAGGGACCTAATTTGACTTCACAAAAATCCATTTTGTTTTTTATTGTAATATTTCGAGTTTTTTGTTTCTCTTTGTGATTTCAAATAAAGTTTTTCTTTCTTTCTTTCTTTCTTTAAACAATCTACAACTTTTAAAAACGTGAGGAAACTGGTAAAGTAAGCAAAACAACATTATTTCTAGATGAATCGTTTAAAATCATTTCATTTTTTTTTATTTCAGCTTCGTAAAGTGGTATTTGACTTTGCACAGAAAGAATTAGCTCCAAAAGCAGCGGAAATCGACAAATCAAATAATTTTAAGGAAATAAGAGAGTTTTGGAAAAAGATCGGAAGTCTTGGCCTTTTAGGTAAGGGATGATGAAATATAACATTTTACAAAACGGTTACTAAATAGAATTATCCTAACTAAATTACTGTATATTTTACAAGGCTGACATATCATATTTACAATGCTCAATTATATTTGTAATGTAAAAAATAGTAAAACCGACGGAGGTGAGATTCGTAGAACACTCAATAAGTTTCGAGATATACAAAAAGTATTCTAGACATTATTAATATTTATTTTATATCTTTTCAAAATATTCTCCATCATGCTCTATACAAAGTTTCATTCGCCCCAATCGAAACACGCCAGAGACATGAAAGTCTAGGCGCAACGCGCACTTGAAAAAAACTTGCCACCATTTTTTTGCCGACGTTGCGAGGTCTTTGCAGTTTTGTCGGTATCTGTCCTTCTGAGTAGACCCATACCGATGATTGCCTTTTATTTTCCGAATTATATTGATAGATCCATGTCTCGTCACCAGTAACGATTTCTGAAACACGCCTAGATGCCCCGTTTTCAAAACGTAGACGCATTACATGGCACCAACCCCCACGTCTGTTTTTCGCTTTCGAAGAGCAAACGAGGGATCCATCGACAACAAAGCTTCCTCACTCCAAGATGTTGATGTAGGATGGTATGAATGCTCCCCGAACTAATGTTTACAATCTTTTCAATGTCCGTATAAGTGATTCGTGGTTCTTCTCGCACCAACATTTCAGTAGTCCATACATTTTCTGCCGTTACTGCTGTTTGCGGGGCCCCGATTCTTTTAACAACTTTAAGGTTAATTTTACCCCTTTCGAATTCGGCAAACCACCTAAAAATGTTGCGCGTGATGGAGCTGAGTCCCCTAATGCTGATTGTAACCGTTGTAAACTTAATTGTTCGGTTAAACCAAATTTAAAATCATAATAGATCATAGCGCGCAAATGTTCACGGTTAAGATCCATCGTTTTTAATGAAAAGCGCGGGAAGAGTAGAACTTGTTTTATATTTTTTTAATATTGATCAATTGGCTTATGGAGTTCTATTTTTAAATAAGTTTGCTTTTTAGAAACATATAACGCGAGCATCTCAGAACCTATTGAGTGACCTACGTACCGCGTTCATATTTGATATTAATTCCAAATGTAATTCCTTATTTTATCTACTTATATCTTTTTTTAAATATTTTTTGGAAACCCAAACAGAAACCATTAAATTTGCAAGATAATTTTGTATTGAACGAATGTCTGACTGTGATGTAAGTAGTCCCGCGTGACGAAAGAATTAATAGTAGTTGCTGTTACTTCTTTGCTTACGATATGAAGTTCACTGCTTGTAGCATATTAGTCGAGGTCTTATCGTCAGTTTTGTCTTGTCTTGTCGTCAACAACAAATTCCTTCTACAGTGACCCTCTAAGCTTTAAGAATTTTAATCACACTCTTTTTGTATAAATTTTTTTTATACAATAAGTGTGACAAACAAGCACACAGTCCACCTGATGGTAAGTGGATGCTGTGTTTCTTAGACATCTATGGTTATCCTCGATTAAGAATGAAAACGCAGATGCGTTGTCACCCCTGAGGATTAAGATGGAATTCCTCGTTTCCAGTAAAAACGTTATATTTAAAATTAATTTATGATTAATAATTATTATATAAATATTATTAAAGTTATATTCTATATTAAACTGGACTGGGAAAAATGTTAAAAAGCTCTATCAAACGGAGCTGGAAAAATATACTAACTCTATGTTTCGTTGTTTCGCTATAAGAGGGAGAGGAGAACATTGCAATTGTCTACCAAAAGAAAGATTTTCCGTCGTTTTAATTCAGCATCCCATTTTCTTACTTGAAGAGGATTTCAAAGAATGCTGTGTCATCCAAGGTGACTTGTTTGCTTTGTATGCGACTGACAATAATTTTTTTATGTTCCTAAAACATCGAGAGGTTTTGATATCAATAGTTTTTTTTTTCTGAGCCATTCATATTGGCAGCTATTGGAATGGCATGGAACGGCTCCCACACATTCTCTTGTATTATGAAGTTTAGTCGGGTTCAAAATGTAATTTGAAGAGTACTAATAATCCTTTTATTTAGACAACACTTTATTAATCCTGTCGTTATCAACATTTCACAACTCTCCGTTTTTTTACCGTAGGTAATGTTGTGAAGGCTTAAATTTTCTTAAGCAACCTACTAATGCTTTAAAGTCGGCAATGCCGTACATATACTAGTATATCGGTGGTAACGCCTAGTTGTTCGACAAATCTCTCGACCATAATACGATAGGTGTTGTATTTAACAACTGAGACGAAAATTTACTAAAGCCAATGCGCAAGTGTTCTAGGCATTAACAATACTCGTAGTAAAAGTAACGCGGCGGTTTACGACCTCAGGTGTTTTCGGCACCTCAAAGATTTAGTCGGAGTCTCGGAGGCTTTTGTAAACCGATTATATGCATACATATAAATAAAATTAGAATGTCTGTCTGTAATATAATAAGCTGAGGGGGTTATTTGCATGCCATTAAGACATGAACAACCATTTACAAAAATATTATCTGTCTGTTTGTCCGTACCACAGAAATCGTAATACTAGTACTAGTACTAGTAATACTAGTAGACTACTTCCCTAAACCGATGTCGCCACATCTTACCGTATTATAAACACACGCAATGCACAATGATATCTAATGTTTCACATTACATTGCTTGGCAAGTTTGTCAACGTCGCGTGTGCATGCGTGCTACGGTAGAACAAAAGCAGCAATGGTAATTGTACAATACGAAGAGTAATAAATGAGTTTGCAGAGGTAAATGTTATAGTAAAGATTTCATCTAGATGTATATATATATACTAATTAAAACAATGATAATTAGTACATAATCAACTTACTGACGAAATGTTATGCCTTTATTAGTTTAATTACACATCCTTGATGAGTTTTTACAACTGATTATGCTGCACTGCATCATCATAAATTTATAATATCAAAAATTCACGTACCTACGACGTTCCCCGCACAACTAAATCAGTAAATCACAAATTGGTAAATTTGTTCGTCAACCCATATAAGCGGCGACAAGGTCACGCGTCTATGCGACTTCTATTGTCTTCGATTTCGATTTCTGTGGTCCGTAGTTCGGATTTCGGAATGACTGAATAATAAATAGGTTCAGTAATGAACCTATTTATTGTTCAAACTGACTGAGAGTAATTCCAGGAGTGATCTAGGCTATATTATAGCAGAAAAACTGAGATTATTTAAACTCTTAAAATTAATTAAAGTAATTGGTTTTTGTTCATGTTAAATCTAAATAACATTTGTAAATCCTGCCCACGCGAAGCCGGAGCGGGCCGCTATAGTAAACAATATAATAGTGATAGCAAATATTTACTGACGTCTAAATATGAACCTATTTCTTCCCGAAAAGGCCGTTTAACTTTAAAGAGTATATCAATGTATGGGATTTAAGATGAACCAATCAAATTGAACTAATTTATACGTGCGTTGAAGTGACAGTAGCCTTGATGGTTATTGCGGAATACGAGCTCAAAAAATCGTGGTCTCGAATTTCCAATTCAAATCTGCCATTCACGCCAGAAAATTTGACATTTGACTTACTCGTACTATTGTGAACCCCTATTGCCAAAACCTAACTTAATCATTTTATGTTTATTTGCAGTAGGTCAGTAATTAACGTTATACTTGGCATGTGTGTTAGTTATGTTAATAGTGTCATTAGCATATCTAATTTGTTTGAAAAAAAAAAACAATTTTAATTGGCTAAATAAAATGTAATTCCTACTAACCTAATACAATATATTTAATTAAAATACTAGCGATAGATTTGCAAAGCCGTGACCTTTTACATTTAAACTTGTTTGAAAAATTGTAGTTGTTTCTCTGTATCACGGGTAGAATATAAAAGTTTCTTGTAATTATAATAATATGTAAGCAACGCCTGGAATTAATTTTAGTCGTTATTAGGAAGACGCTGTTGCCGAACTCCTGGTTTGCTACCCTCTGTCGCCTCTTACGACACCCACGGGATGATATGGGGTAGTGGATATTCGTACACCGCCACTACAGTAGTCCAGTACAGTAGGTATAAGTAAAAAAAGAAAATTTTAATAAGTACTTCATATTCACAGAAATCTAAATAATATTACGTATTTAGATTTCTGTGTCATTGAATGATTAGATAGAATAGATTAGTACAAATTTTAGAAAAATAATGTACTTAATAGTATCAAGGGATCCTAAGCATATTGAATGATTAGATAGAATAGATTAGTACAAATTTTAGACGCAATATAATGTACTTACTTAATAGTATCAAGGGATCCTAAGCATATTGAATGATTAGATAGAATAGATTAGTACAAATTTAAGACGCAATATAATGTACTTACTTAATAGTATCAAGGGATCCTAAGCATATTGAATGATTAGATAGAATAGATTAGTACAAATTTTAGACGCAATATAATGTACTTAATAGTATCAAGGGATCCTAAGCATATTGAATGATTAGATAGAATAGATTAGTACAAAATTTAGACGCAATATAATGTACTTACTTAATAGTATCAAGGGATCCTAATCATATTGAATGATTAGATAGAATAGATTAGTACAAATTTTAGAAAAATAATGTACTTAATAGTATCAAGGGATCCTAAGCATATTGAATGATTAGATAGAATAGATTAGTACAAATTTTAGAAACAATATAGTGTACTTACTTAATAATATCAAGGGATCCTAAGTAACGTTGCTTTGTGTTATTGAATATTCTACGGTTGGTACTCCACCAGTAAATAATTATCAAATAATAAATTACCAATAAGTAATATTAATATGCAAGATCAGCCTTACAGCCAGGGCCTGCTTTAATCACAGGCTAAGTAGGCTGGAGCATAGGGCGCAAGGTTCGAGGGGGCGTTGACCTTGCTTTTACAAGCACCACTTGTGCACAGAATTGCGAAATAAGACACTCTTAATTGTTCCACGTTTATTGCGAGACTGCC